CCCCAAAACCCCAAAACCCCAAAACCCCCTAAGACAATAGTAGAATGACTATTATAATTCACAAAAATTTATTATTAATCTAATGATAGAATAAATCCAATTATTCAGATATTAAATTATTATATCAACTATTAAAGATTAATCGACTTAATCAGAGATCGCCAGGGTCAGTCTGGTCATAAGCGTAGATCTTTTCAACTTAGAATAATCCAAGAGCAGCAGACATCTATGCTGAATGAATAGACATGTAATTCAAATTGGGCCACTCCTAAAGGACATTTTGATAAATAGCATCAATAGTGGCATTTCTTCCAACTTTTTCAAAAGCAGCTTTTGCATGCTGGCATCTAATTGGGCAATCTCCATTGTAGTGATCTTGGTTGGTTTAGTACAGATACCAATTTTAATCAGAAATCTATCTAACATTAGCCACACTGAATCTGTCCCTGGTGATTATAGTGCCCTCGTTGTTCTTCAGCCCAGAGACAATCATATAGCTTGGCGCAATATGGTGATCAGTAGAGACTTTGAGTACAGCACATGCATAATCCTCGCAGCTTTCAAGTGCTTCTCTAATAGTCCATCCAGATTACTTGTAGCCTGTGAAAATCATTCCTACATTCTATATCAATCTTAAATAGTTCTAGGATGGATCTCTTTAGTTAAGAGATATCGCAAACTTGCCGTCCTTGTATCCAGTGAAGGGTGAAATGATTCCAGCAAACATAACAGCGTCATAAAGATGCTGACCGTTCTTGTAGTACTATCCAATGTATGTGATGTTTCTAGTGTCATTTGAGAAGTAAAAGTCCAGATTCCTCATATGAACTATGGTTCCGTTGTTCAGCTTGGCGATAACTGATGTGCAATAGCTATCGAACTCATAGACGTAGTTCATCATCACAGCAAGGTGAGTATCGATCTTTGCGAACTCTGCCATACCTTAGATTTCTCCATATCTCTCCGGATGGTAGTACTTAATGATCCAATCCATCGCCCAGAAGGCGTCCAAAACAACTGAAGGCACATATTGCATGTACATACTTATGAGACTCTTGATAGTGTCCTCGTAGTGCTGAGCAGGACCAAGGAATCTCTGCTTTGGGTCCAAGTCTAAATCAATCTTGAACAAATCAAATCCTTCAGCGTTCTTTCCCATAAAATGCTGACTGCTCATTGATATCAATCCAGCCAGTAAAAGTAGGGTGAAAACTCTTTGATGCATTTTAAGTTTTATAATAAATTAGAATAAATCTAATCCTCAATAATATAAGTCTGACTAACATTCACAAACTTAACTCAGGGGTTTTGGGGTTTTGGGGTTTTGGGG